CAAGGAATTGATTAGCAACGTACCTGTAGATGGAATGTTTGCGAAGATGCATCATCTTCGATGGACGTCATCGCCTATTGCAGGTCTTAGGTAGCCTCCGCCAACCACTGACAACGGTTAGCGCTTAACACTGGATGTGTGCTCGTGGCAAGACAACCTTGCACAATTAATAAGTGTCTTGTCACACAAACGAGCCTGAGGAGGTACTCATATTCCAGTAGAAGAGTATGTGGGAAAGGATGGAGGAAGAGGGAAGGTGTCGAGTATGGAAATGTGTGGATGGAGTGATCATCCGTTATTTCCGTATGGCCGTTATACTCACAGTCGTGGAAGGCAGGGATGAATATTCGTATCTTTGTCATTGTTTATAATTATTTTAGTAAATATGTGTATGTCGGATAGTAGTATGGGGAAGGACGGGGCAAGGTTGTATAATGTTTCTTCATGCGCTAATGAGCGAGGTAATCACGTAGTAAGGGGTAGCTTTTCGCCAAGTTTGGGAGAATGTGTGTGCTTGTCCGCACCCGTGCGTGTATGGTAGAGGGTTATGCTACGTGCGGGAGGTTTTTTTTGCTGATCGTTTTGCAGGGTTCGTGTGTCAGGTAGCTCATAGTCGGTCTTGTCTTGATGGAAGGGGCCGACGCTGCTGGCGAGGCGTGTGGTTTCGGTGCGTGAGAGTTCAGGTTACTTGATCATGGTGAGCGTAAGTGGTGTATCAGGTTATGGCGCATGTGTCATACTTTTTTGTTTGGATGTTTAGTGTCACGTTACTGACGATGTTTCCCACACATTTTCCGTACCGCATTGTCTGGGCGGGTTCTTTTCAAATGTCACGTAGTTACTTTCATACCATGTAACTTTTCATTCTTGCCTTTTTTCCGTTTTTTTTTTAAACCTTTTGTTTACTAATGATCCTTCGGGGTGTAATGTGACTTAGCTTTTCTTTAGTTATCCCATATTTTTTTCTTTTGTGTCGGAGTTGCTTATATCTATTGGGTTGCATTTATGCTAATGATAGTAGATGTATTAATGATCAACTTGATTACTGTATAGATGCTATGGTTGATTTTTCTCATGAATTTATATTCATATTTAAAAAAATAGATGTTATACCACACGGGTGAGCAACTCACTCCTATTGGAATTTCTAGTGTTTGTTTTCAGACATTGCTTACAAGAGATGTGTATGCATTTTCTATTAGCCAATTGTTAATGGCTATTACGATGGTTTAATTATGTGTAAGGTAATCATGGGGTGGGTTGTTTTACCATTCATAGACATGAATTAGTTGATGTTTGATTCTGTAAAATGTACATGCAAGTTGTACGTTATTACTACGGTTTTTCTTTGCTTGTTAAAAGGCAAGCTTTGTGAAGAATTGAATTGCCGTAGGAGTTCATCTTGGCTATCGTCTATGGGGATGGTTTCATAACATCTAGTTATATTTGCGGAGAAGACGGAGGTATCTCGATCCGAAAGATTGTAAACGTAATCTAAGGTGAAGTCTATAGGTCACCAGTAGCGTACTCTGAAACGAGTGTTAATGAGTGTTTGTAGCAAGAGTTATCCACAGTGAGTTTTAACTTTTTTAATTAGTGCTTTGAGTGATGTCGTTGCTAGGTCAGCAAGTGGCGATGAGACCACATCTACATTAGTCAGCCATCTAAATGATTTTTTTTGCTCTTTATGCGTGACGAATAGGTACGGTAAGGTCTTGTTGGCAATGGGTATATATGGGAATCTTATCGTTAGTTGTGCTTCGAGTTGGTTGAGCAAGTCATTTGTGAAAATAAGAATGTGAAAGAAGTCGGGGCTTGATAGTCTTTGTAGCGCTACAAATCGAATAAGGTTTTTACAAATGATTAAAGGTGTGTTAGATGCTTTGTCAACTTCGGAGATGTAGAAATGTTTAGTGAGAAATTTTATTTCATGTTTGATTGCATGATTGTGTAGGTTAACTCTTTTGGGGAGTTGGATATTTTGCAGGTTTTGTGTAATGATCCTGTCAAATTTCTCTTTTGCTTTTGCCTCTTCTTCGCCGCCGAATTGTGTGTGAAATTCTGTGAGGGCGGATGTGAATTATTTTCATACGTGGTTTACCGCAGTTCAGATATCGTGTATCTTAGGTGTAGTTGGTGGTATGTGGTTGAGGCTTTTTGGATCAGTTTCCTGAGATCTTGATTGCCAACAATACTTAAGTCTAGTGTAACAACGTGGGGGTGTTATTGAGCAGGCATTATCTCCAGGTTCATTACGTTGGTGTACCTGGCAAACCTTGGCTGGTGGAATAAGCATTCTTGGAGGAGAATCTCAGTCCATTGTTTGAGATTGAAGTCCCGGAAGGTATCAACTGTTTTGTACATTGTTTTGCCGATGTGATCATTCTATGTCCATAAAAAAAATGAATTTTTCTACGTTTTGTAGTCCAACATGGTTGAATTTGGCGATGATGTTTTTAAGGATGTTTTTAAATTTAAACCGTTCCATTAAGCGATTAGCATAATGAGACAGAAGGTTAACCGACCCTCCAATTTCCACCCCCATTTATAAGAAAACCAATGAGCTATTTTAACCATACTTCACACCAATTTGTAGAGTGCACTTCCTATGATCCCCACTGTACTTTTCAGGGCTGTGAAGGTTACCCTAGGGGTAAAAAGTGGGGGTACTTGTTAACCATTTGTGCCTTACAAAGGTTTCTGCCCTGTTTTTTTGCAGGTGACAGGACTATGATTTGAATGAAATTATTGAGAGCTAGTGCGAGCTCAGCGAACTTTCCGACGGTAAATGATATGGTTAATGGTACAAGTAAGATAGAGAGTGTGCGGGCGCGCAAGTGTGAAGTGCATGTGATTTTTGACATGTCTCGAACCGACATTCTGTTGATGAGTTTTACTTCGATTAATTTAGGAGTAAGCAATTTTTTTCTTTTGGTTGATATGTTTGTTTGTGGCGTGTGTGCACGCACAGAGGCAACTTTGCTATCGGCGTCAAGTCTGACTGTCGACGCTGCATTTTAAAAAGTGATTACCTCGGATTATATTTAAGATGACATTGAAACTTGCATAGTATATAGTGCCATAAGGCGCCTCATTGTGTTTTTCCCGCCAATGAGAAATTTTCCACAGCCTCTACGAAGGCGTGCTTAAATGGAGTTTGGCGCAAGTAAAATTTGGGATTTTCACCATCGACATAATAAAAGCATGGGTTGAAAGAGGCCACTTCTGCAGGCCTAGAATAGCGGTGGTGTGACATGGGCGCAGTACGGTGTATGCACAACAACCACAAATGAAATCTGACCCGCCGCTCATTTAGTGCGCGGGTTCGTCGGCCGTGGGATTGGTCGATACACCAAAATGTGGGCTTGGTGCGCTCTTGCGAAGCCGGGTCACTGTGCAGGTGCTCTTTATATGGAAGTCTTGGGCTTAGCCTTATTGGTCGCGACATCTAACTTTCGATTTGGAGGTACAAGAATGGAGGCCAGCAACCGGTGACGATGGAGTGATGGGGCAGCTTGAAGGTAACCGAGGGGTTGAGGGTCTGGCCGGACTATCCCCTTTGGTTTTGTTGCTGGTCCCGACCGACGGAACCAAAGAAGGTTCCAGCGGTCCTTCCTCTCTCCCCTCCTTGTTTTCCTTCCTATTTTCTTTAACCTGGTTCCGACACCGGCGGAGGGACCGGCGCTGATAGCAATGGGCTTGACGCTGTTGGTACGCCCATGAACTGTTGAAATACAGACTCAAGTTTGAACGCAGATGATGGAACTTGATGTGGGCAACCAAAAATTCTGGAGTTGTCTGGGCCGGGGTGGTACTGGTCCCGCCACAATAGTGGGTACCAATGGGCCTAGCTCCGTTGGTACACCCATGAACTGTTGAAAGCAGGCGTGAGTTATCCGGAACCAGATGAACGAAAATTTGGTGAATTCCCGAGGGCCCGTGAGTCCCACTATTTGATCTCCAGGTTGGTTGTGCGCCTTGGTCCTTTGGGGCATCCGTTAAAATTGGAACGATATGGAGAAATCAGACAAGCCCCTGCGCAAGGATGACACGCATAAATTGAGAGTGGACCCCTCATCTTTTTTTGTTTTCCTGTCTGTACACTCGTCGGGCTCGTGCGTTCTGGGGTCGCGTGGTGCGGTCGAGTTAACGTGGCAGAGTGACGGACGGAGCACAGAAGACGCTGAAGGAGGGAAGAATAGGATGAATATGAGAGGAGGAAGCCGCGCTCGCCGTTTCTTAACGGTTTTAAGCGAACTAAAGCTCGAATTCGAAGTTCTGACATAGCTGAGCACGGTGGTAAGTTAGTCTTGGTGTTAGGGTGGTGAGAAGAGGATTACTTTCGCCTCCTGCGCCAGAACCCTTCTGGCGGGAGAAGGATCTAGTCCCCGTAGGCGGCGGTGGGGAATGGGAGGAGGGGCAGCGTGGTCAAAAGAGGGAGAGGAAGTGACCATATCCCTGGCTACACGTCTCCTGCCGTGTCCCCTCCTCCCGGTACTTAGGTCTCCCTTGCTTGGCCCTTGCGCACTTTCTCGTTGCTCGACTGTCAATCGCGCAAAGGGTGCCTATTTGCGGATTGCGGGAGGCAATCAACGTCGAAGATCGGTCGAGCACCTTATTGGATGATTGGTTCTCCGGTTTTCTTTCGACCGCCGCCATCGCCGTTCATCGAAACGTTGTTTGTGGCACCGACTTGGAAGGCATTGTGCATTGTCTGTGCTTGAGGGAGGGAGGGAGAGAGGGAGGGAGGGTGGTAGTAGTGTCAGTAACGAGGGGCAAGACGGATATGGCGTCGCGCAACAGAACAGTCGCATTCTTGAAGTACAGGGAGGCGGTGCGGCATAGCAAGCCCTATTCTTCCTCTTCCGCGTACACCTCCTCACCGGGCGCAGCAGGGATCGAACTGACTCACACATCAAGCAGGGCAAGGTTACTGCCAAGGCGTGTGGGAGAGTATGACTCCCTCAGCACGAGCTAATACGATTCCGGATTGGGTACGGTGAGTGTTTTCTACCGCCAGCCTGGGTGGACGTATTCGAGGAGGTGGCTGCCGAGATGCAGCAGATCAAAGAGAAGATGGCCCAGCTGACAAAGGCACATTCGCGTGTGTTGATGCCAACATTCGATGAGTTGAATGGGCATAAAGAAACTGTTGAGAAGCTGTCGACAGAGATTACCCGGTTACTGAAGGAGGGAGAGCAAAAGCTAAAGCGGTTGTCAATGGGAGATCTGCACTCAGAAGAAAGAAGAAATGTGCAGAGATTGCTTGCAACGGATTTGCAGCAGCTTTCAATGGACTTCCGCGAACAGCAGAAGGCGTATTTGCAGAGGCTTCGGCGACAGCAGGAGGGATCATTGGGAGGCAGCGCGAGTATAGCTGTACGGCTGAGTGAGCGACCAAGAGTTGGGGAGGATAGTTGTGTGGAATCGGGATTTTCAGATTATCGGCAGTTGAAGCTGAAAGAGGCAGAGGGTTTGGCACCGGAGAGAGAAAAGGAGATTGTCCAGATTATGGATTCTGTCAGTGAGTTAGCACAGATCATGAAGGACTTGTCAGTCCTTGTGATTGAGCAGGGTACAATAATTGACCGAATAGACTACAACATGGAGAATGTTGCCACACAAGTGGAATCAGGTGTAAAACAACTTAGGCAGGCGGAGAGAAAGCAGAAGCAAAGCTCCATGGCGATGTGCATAATGGTTCGCATTGTGCTTTGCCTTTTCATGATAGTGGTGTTGATAAGAGAGAGTTTGGTTTGAGCTTCTTGTCTATCATCAAGCCATGTCACCTTTTCACTGTGTCTTTCTCTAATCGCGCATTCTTTTGTCTTGTCAATCTTTGCATTCTCTCCTCTTTCTCTCTACCTCCCTACCTCCCTATATCTTTCCCTCGCTCCATCTCTCGCTCCCTTCCTTCCTCTCTCCATCTCTTTTCCTTCTCTCCGTTTTACACCTCCGAGACCGTCTCTTAATGTTGAATAATTGTTATGAATAAGCTACATCCTTCCTTCACAGTTCATTGCGTCTTTCTGTAGACCTTTGGTTGTAAACACGCATGTGACCCTGAATTGCTGCAAACACCGTACACGCATATAGATTCACTCAACTTGTGCATCCAGCACGACATACACACATCGTCGTTTCACCTGCTAGCGTTCCATTCGTTCCGGTGTCCTTCCCCCTTCTCTATCACGCCCCAACTCTCGTACGTAAGTACATAGCCATTTGAAGTCGAATCATCGTGACATATGCCATGCATACACGCAGGCATGCAAGTGCAAGAGACAACCGTACAACATATTACGGTATGTTGTAGTCATCAAGATAGGCTGACAGCACGCTTCCTCAGTGCTCCAGCGTCATATTGTCTCAGTGGTTGTGTTAAAGTCTAGTTATGTCTCCCCTACCCGTTCATCTTTGCTCTGTTTGTCCAGCTACTCTGTCTTTGCAGTTGCACTCTCTTTGACTGCTGTTGTTGCTGCTGTCATTGCTTGTCATCAACATAGGGGAGCTTTCTGTACGTACCACAGCGCGTTTTGTTACATGTTTTTTTCCTGCCGTTTTGCACAATGGGAAAACCAGCCATCTTTGCTATTGCAGTCTTGGCCTTTCAGAGTTTCCTCTCCTACTTGACCTCACGATGATCATCTGCGGTTGTCTAGGTGAGTCCTGGTTCTCTTCACACCGTACCGTTTTAGTGCACATTTTTTACGCCCTTCTTGTTGCTCAAATCACCATGTTCGGTACGCGTGCGTTCTACCTCTTCCATTGCCAACTTTTTCCTGGAATTCTCTAGGTTACTCTTGCGACTTTCTTGGACTGGTGTAATAACAGAAGCTTTCGTTGCTGCTGGCGGAGTTCTGCCGGTCGTAAATCGGCTAGCGATTCATTTCTGTTCTTATGCAGCTAAAAAAACGAGAAGAGGATTAGAGGAAACGATGGTGCGCGGTGGAAACTTAGTAGAAAAAGAAGAAGGGCGCGATGTATCTGTCCGCTTTCTAGCGGAGGATACATTTTCAGTAAGCTTTTTTAAGTGAGTACTAGAGCGAGCCTGCTCGTCATCGTTGCAGGCGCCAACAAGCTGTTAGGGAAAGAACAAGATAAGCCGAGAGGAAGGAGCGACGAAAATGATCACTAGCGGGAAAGGAGCATGATCTAGGCGGGTAATCGATTTCGTGGTGTACCTTCCCATGTTCTAGCGGAGAATCCAGTCCCATTATTTTGCACATCTGGTTAGCGGCGGGGCGAGGGCATCGATGCTCCCTGCGCTCGTACTTATGGTCGCGGTCGTCATCTCGATTCAGGTAGTATTGGTGGTCGCCTCTGTCGTCCAGATCCCGGCGGTGTTTGTCGTGCGGCTGACTGCCAAGCTCGTCGAGAGGGCCGCGATCCCGTCGCATTCTCCTATTCGCTATCTGGACTGTAAGGTCGAACGCACCTAGCCAGAACCCTGGCCGGATGCATTGAGCGGAGTAGGATAAGAGTTGGACAATAGGAGGCGGGTGAGAGGACGAGACGTTAGTGCAAGGAGAGAGAGGAGGAACTCACCTGGTTGTCGTCTGGAACGGACTCCGGCGCAAAAGTTCGGGCGTATCTTCCCATGTTCTACCGGAAGATTCATTCTCGTTTTGCTCGCTACAGTTGGCGAGCGACAGTCAACGGACGCAGGCAGCGTGAAGGTCGGCAGCGGGTACGTGCACTGTTCGATGTTCCAGCGGAAAATTCCTTTTCATTGTGCACATGTCGTGAACGACATGGTGCTGCTTATCGGCCAACGCGATCTCGGCGCATCGTGCTGCTCACCCTCATGGTCATCATAATGTTGCTTGCTGTCCCGCTCCCGGTCCTGCTTGCTTTGTAGGTCGTCCGCATCCCGCTGGTTATGTGGTTCCTTTCTGCTAGTTACTGCTTGTGTTACCGTGGCGGTATTGCTTTGCTTGTTGTGGTGGTCGTGGCCAGCAGGTAATGTACCTGGCCATGTTTCACTAGGAGATCCGTTCCCATTTGCACGTTTCAGTGGGGCAACAGAGCGGGGACTGGTGCTGTTCGTCGTGCCGTTATGGTTGGGATCCCGCTGCTGCGCTTCATGTTCACCATCTTTATGGCTATCTCGCTGTCTTGACGAGGCCCATAATGTCACTAGCACTGTCGCCTGTGGTTACAACGTTGCTGGTCTGGGGTGTCGGGTCTGTTACCCACGATACAGTACCGTTGTTTTTGCAGGACTGTAAGGCGGATCTGCTGCTGGTAGTTTTCTGGAAACAGTGTGGCTGTTCCTTGTGAGTTTCGTTGTTGCTGTCCTTCTAAGCCGGTCATGCTGGTATCTGTGAGTTCTCTTGCTGAGTTCAGACTGCTAAATCATTGACGGGCTGAAATCACTGGTCCCTGGATGAGCTGCGCTGGTGGTGTGCCTTTGCTGCTGCGTAAGGAGGAGCCTACTGACGGTACCACTATGCTACTGCTGCCGTCGGGCAGCAACTGTTTTGCAATACCCCTTATATTTTCAGTTTGAACAGCGGACTGCTGCGGCTGGCTGCTTCGGTTGCTTCAACCTGCTGGGATATTGTTGCGGCTCGCTGAGCGTTGCTGCTATTTTCGGAGCCTTGCTGTTATCTCCTATGCTTCGCTGCTACTCTCGTTGGGCGTGTTTGATTGTACCTGAGCCATAGTTATTGAGGTCCAGGAGATCTAATTAGTTGCTGCTAGGATGGGTGTAGCGGACCTCGGGATGGCCTGTGAGACCAGCCCCTTGGCCTGTTCTCACAGGCCTGTGTTATATTTTGTCGGTACCAGCCAGTCCAGTCCAGTCCCGTCAGTCCGCTGGGGTATACCCCAGCCATTGTGTGTTTTCAGGCTCATTCCTCACTTGCACATTTTTGGAGTACGTGCGTTGGAGTCTTGCGTGGGGAGCTGCGTTGTGCCATCTTGCTCCCTCTTCTTCCTCCATCTCCATCTCCGTCAGTAGCGGAGCACCACACCTGGTGGGTCCGCTACATTGGTATCAGAGCGGGAACGGTCCCCGCCCCCACCCACCAGACCGCACAGCAGCGAAATACTGCAAAACCCGACAGTCGGGTTTTCGGCTGTTTTTGGGGTGTTTTCGGGCAAAAAAGCGGGAAAAACGACGGGAAAAGGTGCTGCAGTAGGAGAGCGCCACGTGGCGAAAAAGGGGGGGTAGATGTAGGGTCTGCTGTGTGAGCCATGCCCGTGCGTAAGCAACCTCATAACACACTCGCCACAGTGTGTCCATGGCTCTGTAGCACGGCACACTCGTGTTGAAGAGGTGCCGTGCTGGCTATTTCCCCCCCCCCCCGGCGGCAGCGAGCAGTGCGCAGCAGCGAAGTCGCTATTTGCCCCTCCCCCCCCCGCCCCCAAGTGCCTGCTGCTGCCTGTGCACGTGGCTGAAGACCCCCCTGCTTAGGGGGCTGCTCTACAGTGCAGAGGGCCTGCTCACACAGCAGACCCTACATCTACACATCTGCAGGAGTGCTGCTGGGGGCTGATCAAGATCTCAGCCCCCTCTCTCCTCTAACTGGCCGCTGCATCAAAGACCAAGACCCTCTTGGTCTTGGTGTACCTTGTGCCCTTGGAGACACCAAGGGCCAGGTATCACTCCCTTCTCCCCTCTTCCTCTACTAACCCACTCTCCCTACCTCTCCTCTCTCCTCTTACTCACCCCCTCTTTTTCCCCCACCTTCCACTGCATCTTTCTCTCCTCCTTTTATCTTCCCCACCCCACCTTTCCCCCAACACCCATTCTTTTACTCTCCTTCTTTTATTTCTTTCTTTTCTTCCTCCTTTTCTCTTTGCTTCTTGATCCCTGTCCACCTTTCCCCATCCCTCCTCTCCCCCACCTACCACTACCCCATCCCCCTACCTCCCACTTCATCTTTTTCTTTCCCCCCCACCTATTTCTTTCTTTTCTCCCTCACTTTTCAT